GGGAGATCTCCCACTAGGGCTTAAAATCTGGGACTCTCCACCATTTGGTCTTAGAACTGGTGAAGCTTTTCAGATGAGAGATGAAACATCCAGTTGCTTTTCATTCCAAGCTCCTTAGTTTACCATGACCTGGATGACTGAGAACCAACTGGAGTAAACTTGCAGCACAAAGCAGAGAATTTGGGATCAAGGATGAGAACACGTATCATAAAGACTTTTAGAAAAGGTTTGGGGATGAGCTGACGTGTAACGGCTGCAACGAAAAACACCAAAATGAATCCTGTGCCTCTGTTTGCATGATATGTCAGATTGAAGGATAATGTGTCTTTTTTACTTGAGGGTTTGGGGCAAATTGAGTTTGCAAGATCAGCACGATGCTCCATCGAGTGTCTGTCATGGCCATGGAAGGTTGTTCTCCTGAAGTACCTGTCTGTTTAGAAGACTATATATGTATTGTTTTTATTTAAGCAGGTATATATCATAAAATATAACGTGACCTGATCTCTTTCACTACACAGGCCTTATTATGGTCACATGACGGTGTCACCTGACCTATACTCTCCCAATGGTCACATGATGATGCCACCTGATGCCTACCCGCCCAATGGATACCTCCCCAGATCATCAAATGACCAGCACCCAGGCACCAACTACCTGCCCAGTGTGTCCTACAGCTTAGACCACCTGGACAGACTGGACTATCGGGTAATTTGTTTTTGTTTACACCATTTTATTCTGAAATATCACTTGAGCGTGATCGTCTAAAATATGACACCAGCTGCGATCTTTCCAGATTGTTCCATAAATCGGCTCTTAAAAACATCTGACCGAACTCCTCTTCAAGGTCACGTCTGGGAGACGTTCAGCACTAAAGTTAACTCATGACCCTCTCCAATGAAGACACACTAGTTTCTTTTCTCACCTTTGTTTCTATTTCAGGGCCAAGAAATGTTGCACTACCAGCCTAACTCTGAGAGCTGTCTGATTGGCTGTTACGGTGCAGAAGAGGTGGACCCGAAAAATTTTCCCAGACAGGTAACTGGTTTCAGTATCAAATCTATGGCCTCTTCTCAGACCTATCCCTGTCTCTGTTATACTGTTTCTCTAACTATTCCATTTTTATTAGTACATTTTGCAGTTTTGGAGCATTTGCAGCAGATTTTGCAGTTTGATTTGAACAAAAAACTCAGTTTAAATTCTTTTATTTTCTCTTTAGTCGGACTATCGTCAGCCCTGGAGGTCTGAACGTCCTCTTGGCTACCTTCCCCTCAGTGAGCTTGACAGCGGGTTAGGCTGTGGCCCCGACAGCCCACACAACCGGATACCGCTCTCTGAAGCTGAGACAGATGCCATGTCATCACTGCCTGGCCACACCCCTTCCTCTCAAGGATCCTCCTCTTCCTCCGAGTCCCTAATCTCCTCCGAACCCAGCGACTCAGGCTTCCACAGTGTCAGCACTGGGGAGCACAGACGGCTACACAAGATTCACGGAGGCCACACTCATCGGCAAGCTCACCATCTTCGCTCAGGCCACTCCCCTCGTGAGCAGAGAGGACGCTGGGATTTGGAGTCGATTCCTGAGACGACTCCGATGACCCAACCTGGAGTACCACAAGCATCCCATTGCTCTGTGGGTAACAGCACGACCACGACAGTTCACTTCCACAGAGCTGAGAGGAGTCCCACTTTACCTCGTCACCGTTCACCACCCTCGCCCTCTATCGGTTAGTAAAACACAGTAAAATAATTGTGAGAATCTCCACTTTTAGTCATTTTAATCTGATCTGTCAAAGTTTTGAGCTATGGCTTCATCACAGTCCAACCAGAGGTCAAAGTGACTTTAGCGTCGGGTGTCTTTTCTTCTTATCCCTGTTTTCCTGAAAAACATAACTACATCAATACAGAATTTTCAGGTTTACACCCTCCAATCAAATAGCTAAATTTGCATCTGCAAATTAAGGCAGGGACAAAGCTTCAGTTCCTTGAACGATCACTCGAGGCGGCTCCAACAGCTCATGTTAAAATGCCCAACTCTACAGCGTCACAAAGGGTTAACAGCTGGGTAGAGTTTTATCTATAGACAAAGCTACACATCAGGTTTAAAATACATCCATTTAGATACAGCAAAGGCTTAAAGTTAGGGGAATGGCCACTTTGACAGTGTGCTGACACAGGTAACAGCAGCTGTTAGCTATTTGCTGGACCTCACATCCTAGAATTAATGAGAACAGCTTCTCTACTGTGTTTGTATCTCCTGCAATCGATCGCTGCAGACCATCCAAGAAGTCTACCCACTAATACGCACGTATGTTTGCTGGTGTGATGTACCCATAGTCTATGAATCAATCTTGCTCAGCAAATTTCCCA